GCACCAGGCTTTGTGGGATTGAAAAGGCCGACCCACACCACGGGCGGACTGCTGAGGCAAAATGTATGTGGTTCATCAGCGAATGCAGGGCGGAGAGCCTCACTGGGCTCACCAGTCCACTATGCCAGCAGGTCCGCCACCAGAGCCTCGGCAAAGAAAAATAGCCTCGGCAAAGAAAAATAAAAAACAGTGGAGAAAGCATGAGACAGTGGCTCTTGGTAGGGACACCTCCTGAAAACTATGTGGAAGACTGGAATGGAAGCTCGCTTGAAACGAAGAAGAGACCACCCCCAATCATTCCCAGTCTACGCTTTCAGTAGATCCATTCCTAGCCAATGTCCGAAACCAAGGAGTGGATCTTCTTCATCGACTGTGATGCCTTTTTCACCGACTTCGAGACCTCCATCGGACGCCTCTTAGCCACCTATTCGGACGACCACGCGGACCGCGCGGCCGCGGCCGCGGTGCAGTTCTTGGTGGCGGAAGACCCTGGGGGGATCAACACAGGCGTCTTCCTGATTCGTGTCTCGACAGCGACGGAACGTGGGCGTGAAACACCGACATGGGCGGACGGGAGCGCGGAGCGCAAGCACTTGCGCTCACGCACGCGAAGCGGTGGTTCATTCAGGCGCGCTTTCACAAAGAAGAGGGCGACGAAATTGAGATGTTTTCAAGATCCCATGATATAAGGATTCACTTGCCTCATCGGAACCCGATACATGACGGTATTTGTTCAATTAAGCATAATTAACAATAACAACTATAAAATGTACACTTCCACTTCAAGCTTCACGTGATTGTAAGTGGGCCAACTCTAGGCAGGACAAAGAACATCTCCTTGCTTGGTGCCATTGCGTTGCAACACCGGAAAGCGCTGCAGTTTTGATTGATTGATCCATGGAAGGTAGATTTGAGGGTCCTGATGAGGCTCGTCACTCCAAGAACTTGAATCGAACATCCTTTGGACATCCTCAATTCAACAAATGTGGGTTCTTTCTGCGCAACATTTGTCCATGCCCACACACCACCCAAGCTGGATAGCTACAAGCACAGCTACCAGGCATGGCGGCACGCACCGGGGCAACCGGCTTGTAAGGGCTACAGCTGCGCTCACGCACTTGCAATCCCTTAGTGCAACTGTTTTCTAAGGGGGGGCTTCTTGGACCAATCCCAATCCATGTTTGTCAACTTCACAACTCCACTTTCCCCCTGCTTCACGCAAGCAATCACAGTTTTTCGTTTTTTAGTGGTCTAGAAGGTCGGTACCATGTTCATATGTGGCGCTCGCCTTAGGGTTCATTGCATTCCACTCACCTAATATTAGAAGTAACAACAATTACAATAACTTGGGTTTGTTCTAGAGCTATTGCCCGTAACAGTCAGTAAACATTTATTGCTATGTTTGATCCAGGCCTGCAACTGAACCATCATCATCCACTGTTACAGGTATTGGGATAGACCCAAACAATAACAACAATGACAATATATGACAAATAGTAATATAGAAGGGGAAGTGGCGGAAGTGGCATCAATGAAACGGGCTGGTGTGTTTGCAGGCAGATTCGATTCATGAGAAGCCTCACATAATCTCACATACTGGTAGATATAATATAACATATTATATATATACATACAGATTAAGTGACCATAGTCAAGCTCCAAAGGCATTGTTTTCTTTTCTTGGTACTTGGCTTATTCCAATCTATTTAGATTCCGCAGCATAGGTTTGTCCACCCTGTGTTTGCCCTTGATTGTACAATACAATAGAGGTTCATGACGTCAGTCTTCAATCTGTGGACTTTGTGCCACAGCCCTGCCCAACCGACTGTGGTTGACAACCAATACTGGAACGCTCAGAACGCTCCAACAAAAGAAACCATTTTTGGATGTGTTTGTCCGAGTTCAAACTACTACCCTCCATCCGACATTGGCATATTTAATCATGATGCAGGTGGATCGCGACCCCTCCTTCACTAGTCAAGAATCGTTCACTTCCGTGTTTGTTGAAGGGAGGTTAAACCCATTTGAGATCTAGACCATTCTTTGTTCTTTTCGCCCACAGGATGATAATATATTCCACTCGCTTAGCAAATTGCATTGAACTCCCCGAATATTACAGTGGTTTCAGAGTAGATGGCACAGACCCCAAGAGGTGGTTTATATGAACCCCCATGTAAAGGACATCTTGGGGCGCCAGTGCCATCTACTCTGAAACCACTGTAAAAGTACATTACAACGATTACAACATATGACAAATAATGTCAAATCATACTGTTAGTAGTTATATTGAGGTTCTATCGAGGTGTTTTCCTCCCACTCACTGGAACGGACACCCGAACTCTCGGAGCTGTGGCGCCAGGAAACTCCCCATGGTCCGTGAGTTTTCTGGAGCGGGTCGCTTCGAGCAACTTCATGGTCGCCTGGGATCAGCCTCTTGCTAACATGTGGATCACTGGGGGGGTCCCTGGTGGACCGGAACATGAACAGAATATATACTCCCCTGCAGAGGACCACATGGAAACCCAAAACCACTGGGTTCTAGAGGAAAATGGTCTTCCACAGGTCTTTTCTCAGGTTCTATGAATATAATTGGAGTCAAGGTGGTCAACCTGCCAGGGTTTAGTTGAGATGTCCGGGCTTTGACCTGCCAAATCAGCCTCTTGGTGAACTGATTGGGAACTAAAGGGAAAGACAAAAGCACTACAGACGAGGGGGACTAACGAAGGTCCTTCTGATCGTGGTATGTTTGCACCTCTTTCTTGGGGTGCTTTGAGAAACTCACTCCCCAAGCACTGCCGTGGAGCTGAGCAGCTGGCACTTGGTACATCGGTAGGGTATACCTGAGGGATGGTCAAAAACCGGTCCAGATTGTTTGGGATGGAAAACAATTGAACACCCACTTATGTACGTGGGACCAATCCTGGGACACCCCTCGTGAGGTGGAGCTGCAAGACATGTTTGGTGACAGCAATTTGGTTTTGTTAACTTCCTTTGGTGAGGACCTGATGGATAGAACTTCGCACCCCCATGAAACATCCCAAAGAAAGATGCATGTCCTAAGCCACAGACCTGCACGGATGTCCGAAAGCGGGACTTCTGGGTCTGGCAGACCAAAGCAGGTCAATGTTCTTTTGGCACATGGTCCGCGGAGCCTTGGACATGGATCTCGCTCAGGAGGGGAGGTGGCAAGTTCCGGGCTGAGGAGGGGAAGGGTTTGGCAGGCAGATTGGATTCATGAGATGCCTCACATAATCTCAGTCTCATACTGCATATAAAAGATTATAAACGTGTATATAGATAGATAAGATAAGATGTGATGTGAGATGATAAGATAAGGAAAGAAAGAAAGAAAGATAGATAGATAGATAGGTAAGATAGATAGATAGATAGACAGATAGATAAAGAAATATAGATAGATAGATAGATAGTTGGATGGAAAGATCGATTGATTTATTTTCTTGGTACTTGCTTATTCACATTTTTTTAGATTCAGCTAAATATAGCTTTGTCCAACCTGTGTTTTAGAGTAAAATAGATGTTCATGACATTGGTCTTCAATCTGTGGACTTTGCCACAGCCCTGCCCAACCGACTCCATTTTTGGACATTTTTGAAGTTCAATCTACTACCCTCCATTCAACATATTTGGATATGATGCAAGTGGACAATGACCACTCCTTCACTAGTCAGGAATCGTTCACTTCCGTGTTGGTTGAATGGAGGTTAAGCCTGATTCTTCGCCTGCAGGATGAGGACTTCACTTATCCAAAGGAGGTTCGCTTAGTACATCAGGCCGGGAAGGACCAATTGGAGCGTCCTTCACGTGGACATTATAAAATAAACACTGAATTCATGGGGGGCTGAATGATGCTGTTCCGCTGACGTTGGTCTAGTGAAGGCACTTCACAGACATGGTCTTCGTGCGTGGACGAGCCAGATTTGGTGGTTGACCGCTGGAGTGCCTGATTGATCTACCATCTTGGGAAACGAAGGCTACTGTTTGTGCTGGAAATCGATATTCTTTAATAATCTTGAGACTTTCACTGTCACTTGTGTGTGTGTGAGGGAGGAGTGCACCCGACAACCAACGAGTTGATTGTGTCTTTTCTTATTTGCTGTCCGGCCCAGTGTGGGAAACACCGTAAATGCTCCACAAAAGCCGTGGTGCTTCAGAGGGAGCGACAGAGCCATATGGGAAGCCGGAACCGGAGGCCGGAACCGGAACCTGCAACCTGCGCTCTGCGCAGGCGCACTTCAATGCCTTCGTCCCCCCCGGCCTCCGTCGACTGGATGGCCTATGAGTGGCGCCCGGGGGACTTCGTGCGGCACTTCGCCGGGTGCCCCTGGCAGGAGCGGGGTCGAGGTTCCGCACAGCTGGCGGTTGTGTTTTAAAAGATTGCATTGACATGCTTGTGTAGCACGTTTGCATCAGTCTCATGAGTGGCATAGAGCTGGTCCTTGCCATTTTTGCAGGAGCAGCCCTGCTTGAAGATGATGCTGGTCACTTGTTTGGCATGTATGGCCAGGGCTCAGACAACCTCATGACCTTGCACAACCTTACCGCTCCTAACTGTCCAACTGCGCTAGAATTTGGATTTCATGACCATGAGATTTGAGGCTACTACATCCAGGTTTTAGTACCTTTGGTTTGCTCACCTCGCTTGGGCACAGGCACTTGGGAAGCCTTAAAGTAAAAAACATCAATCACAAGTCTTCAATCAATGGCTGCACGGCCAAACCCTTCCAGACTTCCAGATGCAGTGTTTTGCTGTTGTGATGTTGACTTGTGCTCATGCTCAGGAGACCGCACAGATGGCACCATTAAGGGCCCAGGAACAGGCGGAATACTTGGCTCGGACCGGCCGCTGAACAAACACCTGCCTGCAGCGGACTGCGCGTGTGTGCTCATCAATCCCAGCTGAGGCAAATGGGGAAAAACCGCAACATCCCGCAACTAATTTGCGTCATTGTTTCCTGATTGGATCGGGAAGTGGCCCCCAGGTGTGGGTGGACCAGCGAAGCGAGTGGATGGGATCGCGCCTTGGAGATTCAAGGGTTTGGGTGGCCATCAAGCCTTCTTCACCTAGCCAGATGATACAAGACGGTCAAACTACGTCAAGCCACAGAGACAAGCAAGCTTGATTCACCCAACGGGCCCAGGGGCTGGTAGCAGTAATTACACAAAAGCCTAAGATAGCCTAAGTCGTTTCCCCAAGGTGGAGATATCGGGGCAACCTCAAATCATTCTGCTCAATCATCTTCACGGGGTGAGACATGAAGTTAATCCAAAATCTGTTGCTCCCGAAAAGGCACAATGAAGCATCCGAAGCATCCTTGCCTCTGCATGGGGTAAACATACCAATCCCAGTTGTGCGTGTATGCTGTGCGTGGCGGCAATCGAGTAAGGAAGTGTTCAAGGGTCTCGGAGGAAATGCTCGAAGGAACGCCTCAAAAGGTAACAGAAGTTCAGGGTCTCCAAGTTCAGGTAATGCGAAGGTGACATTGCATTCTTAGACAAGAACAGGTCAGAACTCAGGTTGTCGCTAGGCCCTAGGCGTTGAGAACTGGGCAATCCAAATTGTGGAAGCCAACCTGGCATGGACGGTGTTATTGCTTTCACACAATCAAATGGATCATTGTGATCATTGTGCAAAAGCGTGCTTGGCCCCAGGTGCCAGCTTGCATCCATCAACTTGCTCGCTTATGGGTATGCATCTAAGGCCAGAAACAGGCTTTTAGCTGATGGCTGATGATCTGCACGAATGAAAGAACCAGAGATGGAGAGAGTTTGAGAGGCTTGAGGTAGAGCTGTTCTTTGATGCCGCTACCGCTACCCAAACCTTAATCTGTGCACCCTATCCGATGTGATCATAATGACTTGGACATGTTGCTTGTGCTACGGTAGTGCCACTCCATGGCTCCAAAGTTCCATGAATAGAGGTCGGGGAGCTTGTAATTCTGCCAGGCTTGCACTTTGTCCAAGGAAGCAGCACCCGAGAATTCTTTCTCAGTGCCCTCAGATGGAGATGTCCAAGGTTCTGTTCCACCGCCAAACATCATCAGAGTTCGTTTTGATGATTTTGATGTTGGGTTGGGCCAGGCTTGTTCCACGAGAACTTGAGACTTGCTCAAAGCTGGTACAGGACAGCGCACCCGCCTCCAGGTACATACGACCAGAAGCACGTTCAATTTCGCCCCTTGGCAGAAGCCGTTCATCATCAGGTCTTGGCTGGGGGGACTTGTTCTCTTTTTTTAGTCAAAGACTTTAAAGAAAATATGTTAAGGAACCCAATTGCCTCCAACCTAGTAGCGATGGCCTAACCTACTCTTTCTCCAACTGGGACGCTTGTGATGATTCGCTTCCTTGACGTGTAGCTTCCTTTTCATCCTTAGTACTGGTCATCGCCGGTTGCGCAAGAGTCGGAGACCTCCGCCCTATATAGCTAGGGTGACTCGGGTGTATCCGAGCATCCCATTATACCAGTAGCAGTTGGTATTTTGGGGACAGGTCTTTACTATATAACCATCATCATCGACGGTGGCTGGTATTTTTTGTAAAGTCCTATGGGCTGCCCAAAGCTGAGAGACAGAGACACAGATCTGTACCAGCAGAGTTCCGAAGCCGCTCAAAAGCCACAGACGTATTTGCTTGGTACATCTTTGCACTATCTGAGATGCACCAAGATTGCAATCTAGTGCACATCAGATTTCAAACAGTTTGGCACATCTTTGCACTATCGTTGGTGCATGTACTACGTTTGAAATATGAGATTCAGGATGTGAATTTGGTGATGCAGCAACCGTCAGTTCGCGCCGGCGTCCCCGATCTCGGCACGAGTCCGCGGTGGGAGGGAGAGGAGACTTGAGTGACCAGGAGAAACAGGGTTTCACGGCGGCACGGCATTCGGTCGGTAGGTAGGATAGGGTTCCAACCACGGTTACTTTCACATTGGTAGCGGAGCCCCCAAAACATAGGGGGCAAGTTTTCGGGTTCTTACCATTTTGCATCGGGGCGTGCATCTGGTATGTTCCAGAGGGCCATGGCTGGTCGCGATGGTGGGACTGATGCAGGTCCTAGCGAAGGGAGAGGCTCGTTGTCCACGAGCCAGTTGCCTTGGGGCCAGATCCCAAGCTTTGTGGCAGGAGAGTCAGACCTGGAAGATTATGCGAAGAAGCTGATTTTCCTGCGTTCCATATGGCCTGAAGAGCACATCGCTCACCTTGCACCTAGAGCAGCTCTCCAGTGCGATGCTGTATCCTTCAAGAAGGTGTCCAAGATTGATCCAGAACGTTTGAAGTCCAAAGAAGGATGCGATGCACTTCTCACTGCATTAGGTGTCCAGTGGGGTCGCTTTCAGAACGAGGATCGCTATCTGAAGTTCGAGCGAGCATTGTTCCTGACGACTCAGAAGCCGGATGAATCAAACGATTCATACATCGCCCGACATGAGGCGAGCTTTGAAGAGATCCTGCAGAAGGATAAGAGCGTGTCGCTGGAAGAGATCAGGGCATATGTGATGATTCGTCATTCCCAGCTCACAGGTGAAGAGAAGAAGCGCATTATCGTCGACAACAAGGGCATCCTGACCTATGACTCAACCCGGGATGCAATGAGATTGTTGGGGTCGCGCTTCTTTCAAGACCTTCAAGGCGCAGGGGGTAAGAAGTGGAAGACCTATGATGCACACACAGTTGAGGAGTCAGAACCAGTCTTTACTTCGGTGGATGAAGGGGTGGATGAGGAGCAGGTCTATCAGACACTGCTTGAGCAGGGTGATGAGGATGCCGTCTTCATCCAGGAGTTTGACGAGCAGATCATCGAGGCAGTGCAGGACTCAGGAGAGTTAGCAAGCTGTTTCCTGAGTTATCAGGAGGCCCGTGCCAAGCTTCGTGAACGAGCTCGGAATCGAGGATTTTGGCCACCTCGTGGTTCGGGAAAGGGCAAGAGCTTTGGTGGTGGCAAGAAAGGGGGAAAAGGAGCACCATTTTCGTCCTCTCGCCGCACCCTTGCAGAGAGGATTGCCAACTCGACCTGCCGGATTTGCGGAAAGCCAGGCCATTGGAAGAGGGAATGTCCACAGCGACCTGATCGTCCCGATCGTCCCTCCGAGATGGCAACCATGGCTGAAGAGTTTGAGGAGTTCAACGACCCGGAACTCCCAGAAAACTTGCCGGATGAGATCCAGGAGAGTTCAAAATTCCGTGCCGCATGTTTGTTTAACAAAGAAAAGACTAGGAGTCTTTTGAGTAGTGAAGCCTTGGGTGATAGCATGATGCATTGGGGTCCCCACGCTGTTGATCACGTTCAAGAGTGTTTTGCTGTTTTTGGGGAAGTGAGGGAAATGATGTCAAGAGCCTTGAAACAACATGCAAGGCTTCGCGGTGATTTGATGAAGAGACGTGAAGCCGGGACGCATGAAGCCAAGGGCTTGAGCCAGACTTTCTCCGTGAAGCCTTCAGTGGCCTTTGCTTCAACCCCCTCGGTTGAAATGAACCAGGAAGAGGGAGTAGGTGAGGCAATTTTGGATACAGGAGCAAGCCGAACGGTCATCGGTAGCGAACGGGTCCCGGCACTTGAGAGGGCTTTACGAGGTATTCGGATCGAAAGGGGCCCCTCGAAGTGTGTTTTCCGATTCGGTAATAGTGGCTTGCTCCGAAGTGAAGAAGCTTTGTTCTTAAAACGTCACGGAAAAGGCTGGCTCCGCGTTGAGATCGTGCCCGGAAGCACACCCTTTTTGATATCCAATGCCGTTGTTGAGGGCTTGAAGGGGGTTGTTGATGTTCATCAGGGTTTGCTGTCATTTCATGGTAGTGATGATGTAATTCATTTGAGGCGAGTTCGAAAGAAGTTGTGTTGTTTGAAAGTTAGGGATTTGTTGAACGTGCGTTTCTTTGAAGCAGGGGAGAGTTGTTTGCATGTTCACACAAAGAAAACAACACAGACAGACATACACACCCACCCGGACGTGCATGAAGAATTTGAGCACACCACACCAGACGGACGTAAAGAGGACGGAACGTCCCAACAGACCACAGACTTGATACAAAGCAGTGCCGAACCACCAATCAGTCGAGAGATCCATGCAGCCAGTGGAGCGAATCAAGCATCCAGCACCGAGTCCGTGTTCGAGAGCGTGAAGCATCATGGCCCTACGCAAGATGGTGCCTCAATACCAGTTGGAAGAGCTGTCCGGGGAGGAGGATTGCAGTCTTCGACGGGAGACTCATCAGCCTCTCACCTACCAGTACAAGGTGCCCCCTGGAATTCACAACCTCCAGCAATGGGGAGCCGAGTGTTTCCAGTCAGGAAAGCACAAGGGAGCATCCTTCCAAGACATCTTCGACAAGGAGAGCAGCTATGTGCAGTTCATCCTGAGCAATACTCGGCTGACGGCAACCGACATGCTCAGCTTTCAGAATTTCTGCAAAGCTCAGAAAAAGAAGTTGGCACAGACGATGCAGCAGGGTCCCATTCTTCCGAAGACAACGTCTCATCGCCATTCTGCAATGAGCTCAGGTCCAATCAGCTCGACCCAAGAGCGCCAGGTGCCAGTTCAGATCATCGACTCGGAGTGGAGCCATGTGGAGATGAACGAGCCGCCTTCCCATCCCAAGAACACCAAGGACAATCTGAAAAGGGGGTATCCACAGGGAAGTTCACCAACACCGATGAAGGTGGAGGAGAATTCCCAGACCGTGCAGGAGCTCCAGACGCAGATTGCGATTCTCCAGAGGGAACTGGCGAAGCAGACATCTCCCAAAGACGACCTACCAACCACACCCTGAGACGACAGCTGAGGGGTGTGACTAATGCGAGATCACCGAAGTGGAACACCGAAGAGGTAAATAGAAGATGCAAGGAACTCATTTGTACCATAGAGGACGGTTTGTCCACTCTTCCTAAAAAGTTTGTTGGTACGGAATCCAAACCTCAGACTGGTGTTTCAGATCCCGGACACAATCGGCCCATTGACTGCCTTGAGGTGTATTGTTTTGCAGACTCCCAATTGACCAAGCAAATTGAAAGTTTGGGAGGGAAAGCAGTGAGATTTACTCGTAAAGATGGCGACCTCACCACACCTGAAGGGGTCAAGAAATTGTGGACGTGGATCATGTTGTATGAACCTACCCATATCTGGGCATCTCCTGATTGCAAGTATTGGGGAGGGTTTTCACGACTCAACATGTCACGAAACGAATACATGGAACGACATATCATGGAGAAGAGACAAACGGAGAAACCCAATTTGAATTTGTGTCATGACTTGTATTGGCATCAGGTGTGTTTGGGTAGACATTTTCACTTGGAACAACCTAGTGGTTCAGAAATGATACAACAGTCAGAAATGTACGACATTGCAACAGGAACGATGCCGGCATCCTTTGATCAGTGTCGGGTAGGTGGTTTGCGTTTGCCTCAGGATGATCGTTTCCTCCGGAAGAGAACTGTTGTGCACACCACATCGAGGATTGTTCATTCACTTCTACATCGCAGATGGTGCAATCAAGATCATGAACATCGACGCATAGAAGGCAGTTTCAAGCATCACGGAGATCGACAATCAGTTTCCGCTTTTGCAGCACACTACACCAGAACATTTGCCAGAACCGTGACTAAAGCACTCATGGAATCCAGTTCCAAACGTGAGGACCCCCTAGCAGTCATGGAACTTTTAGCAGGGTTTGAAGCTTCAGAAAGTGGGCACAAACGATCTCGAGAATCAGCAATTGATTCTCTCCGGCTGAAACGTCATAGGTGCGTGTACAAACAGCCGTGTCCTGCAGCATTTGCACCCGCTGTGGCACCAGTGTCTTGGGAACACATCATGCAAGAGGTCTCCAAAGAGACTCCTAGGGTTGGTGTTCACACAATACGCCAGGGGCCTCTCATGGAAAAAGTTCAATCTGTGATTCCCGAGATGCAGGTACAGCTGATGATTTCATGTCGCGGGACGGACAGATACAGGACCCCTGACAAACAGGACGATAGTAGTAGGCTGACTTTGAGGAAGACGGTCTATATTCATCGAGTTTCGGGTGCGTTTGTGGATGTTGGGGTTCCTGAAGAATGGCAAAAGCTTTCACGTATGAAGAGGGTAGGCAAATGTGGCCCCGCACGACTTTCACTGACTGTGTTTGGGTCCCCATGTTTCGGAGAGGAGATCGTGGACCCTCATCCGAAAAAGGAAACACGTGAAGGGTCAAGTCCTGCCATTTCAGTTGAAGGGCATGAATCAGCCTGGGCACCCAGGCCAATTGCTGTCTCTGGACCTTTGTTCTTGAAATTGCCCCCTGAGGAACGGGCTGATATTGTAAGGCTACATCAGAATTTGGGGCATCCCGAGCCAGACTTGTTCCGCAAGTTTCTTAAGGAACGAGGGGCATCAGAGGCAGTGATTGAAGGGGTGAAAGAATTTCAATGCCCAACCTGTGCAGAAAACCAGGGGGCTCCACTATTGGCACGCCCTAGTAGTATTCACCGGGATTTGGACTTCAACGACGAAGTAGGAGGTGATGGGGCTTGGTGGACAAATAGTAGGGGCAGGAAGTTTCATTTCATGCATTTTATCGACGAGGGAACCTTGTTTCATGTTGGAGCACCCTGTGGAAGATCCACACCAGAACAAATTCGAGTGTTTGAGGATGTTTGGCTGCAATGGGCTGGACCATGTAAACTTCTATACTTGGACCCTGCCGGGGAATATGTCAATGATGAATGGAGACAATTCCTCCAGACGGAGAACATTTGTGTCTCTCTCAGTGCAGGGGAAAGTCATTGGCAATTGGGAAGATGCGAACGCCATGGACAAATCGCGAAGAACATGTTGGATAGGATGAATGTTGAGAGTCCAATTGAAAGTGACGAAGAGTTCAGAGTTTGTTTGAGACAAGCGTTTGCAGCAAAGAATGCCTTAAGCAGAGTTGGTGGATTCTCCCCGGAGCAAGCTCTACTGGGAAAGTCACGACACATTCCTGCCTCCTTGACGGGCGATGAAAACGTGGGAAGCCATAGCTTGGCAGTGAGTGACGACCCGGAGGGCCAGTGGTTTTTGAAGTCGTTGGCACGGCGAGAGCAAGCAAGGCGAAGTTTCATTGCTGCTGACAATGACAACAGCTTTCGACGTGCTCTCCTCCGCAGAACTAGGCCTAGCCGAGCTCAGTATCAAAGGGGTGATTGGGTACTATATTGGAGAAGGAGGGGAGTCGGTAGAAAGGAAAGGGGTAGGTGGCATGGTCCTTCCCAGGTCATTGTGGTTGAAGGGAACAAAGTTGTCTGGCTGAGTCATTGTGGCCGACTAATTCGAGCGAGTCCAGAACACCTCAGACCTGCTTCACTGCGTGAATATCATTTGTTGCCAAGGGATGACCAGGGTCAGGTTCGAGACGAGGTTTTGAAAGAGGGTCAAGGGCCTAGGGACTTTGTAGCCTTGGACGAATTTCCTGAAGCAGGGGATATGAGGACTGTTCCTTCCGTGACCGAAGAGGACCAGCCCGAGCTGGAAGTGTCTCCACCATCCACGTTGGGAACTGAGCCTATGGAACCGGAAAGGGAGGGGTTGAGTGAGTATGCACCCACAGATCCTCCCGATGTCGAGATGGATGGAGTGAACATTCCAGTTCCTGAAGAAGTCGATGATGATTTGTTTGCTTTCGGAGATGACACCTTTCTCTCACTGGGAAGTCCTGAGTATGAGTTCTCTTTTAGGGATGGTCCTGTTTTGGGGGAGTCTCAAAGGGATACTGTCTTTTCAGTATGGGAGACGTTTGGGGTGACCAATGCTAAGAAGGAGAAGGTAGAGCTTAGGTGGGACGATCTCAGTGAGAAAGAGAAGGTGCTCTTCCGTGCTGCCAAAGAAAAAGAAGTGAAGGCATGGCTGTCTCATCAGACAGTGAAAAGGGTGGCACAGGGCACTCTGAAGCCCGAAGAAATCATGAGATGTAGGTGGATTTTAACATGGAAGCCACCAGAATCTCCGGGCGGAGAACGCCGTGCCAAAGCCCGGTTGGTGATCCTTGGATTCACAGATCCCGGAATTTCCTATGTCCCCAATGACGCCCCCACGTTGTCCAAAGACGGAAGGATGCTAGTCGTACAGGGAGTGTCGAGTTTTGGATGGGACTTGGTGAGTTTTGATGTGTCAACTGCCTTTTTGAAGGGCGAAGGAGATGGCCGGAATCTAGGGATCCAAGCACCACCTGAAATTGCCACCTCACTGAACATGTCTCGGACAGACCAATGCCAGCTGTTGGGTGGAGCGTATGGTCGAGTCGATGGTCCCTATCTGTGGTATAAGTCCTTTAGGAAGACTCTAGAAGATCATGGTTTTGTGTGCTCCCCTTTTGACAGCTGTGTTTTCAGTTTGGTGACTCAGGGAGAAGGCAAACAACCTCAGGTTCGTGGTCTGTTGGGGATTCACGTAGATGACGGAATAGGTGGAGGTGATAGCTACTTTCACGAAACCCTCGAAAAGATCCAAAAGGTGTACAGTTTCGGGGCTTTCCATAAGAAGAATTTTGTATTTTGTGGAGTGCGGTACTTTCAATGGGATGACGGATCGATTGAGTTGGACCAACGAGAGTATATCGAAAGAATCAATCCGATCCAAATTCCCAAGCATCGCCGTGCAGAGCCATTGTCCGAAGTGACAGAAGGTGAGCGTCAAGAAATTCGACAGTTGTGCGGGTCTCTTCAATATGCCTCAGTCAATACCAGACCTGATCTTTCAGCTAAGATAGGGGAAGTACAGTCGAAGATTACACGAGCGACTGTCGGGGAGATGTTAGCTTTGAATAGGATTTTGCATGAGGCAAAGAGTCACCCGGTGTGCCTGCATATTTTACCCATCAAAGTGGCAGAACTGTCCTTTTGTGCTTTCAGTGACGCCTCCTTCGCAACAAATAAGGACACAGCCTCAAGACAAGGAACAATCATTTTTGCGACTGATCGAAACTTAGACAGGAATATGGTTGGGGTAGTGTGTCCCATAGCTTGGACTTCAAGGAAAATCCCCAGAGTTGTTCGATCCACCTTGTCCGCTGAAGCTGTGGCACTTACTTAGTGCTTCCTTGGATCGGCTCTCGTGGTTGCGCCTTTTTTGGGAATGGGTGAAAAATCCCGGAAGTAATGTGATGGAGCCAGAAGGTATGCTTGCTGAGGCACCCAGGTCATCGGTTGTGACAGATTGTAAATCTGTTTACGACGTTTCAACGAAGACTTCGACACCAACTTGTGAAGAGTACCGGACATGTTTGGAATGCATTCTCATTCGAGAGCGGTTGAGAGAGAACTGTCGTTTGAGATGGGTCAACTCACAAGCACAGCTGGCAGATTCATTAACGAAGGCGATGGATGCTACGCTTTTGAGGCAATGCCTTGCGGCAGGAAAGTACAGTTTGTTTGACGAAGCTGCGACACTTAAAGCTAAAGCAGATAAACGAAACCGCCTAGCTTGGGTAAACAAGGAAAAGGAAAAATCGTCAGAGAGTTTGAAGACGTAGAAAATAGGTGGTGTGTGAATTTGGTGATGCAGCAACCGTCAGTTCGCGCCGGCGTCCCCGATCTCGGCACGAGTCCGCGGTGGGAGGGAGAGGAGACTTGAGTGACCAGGAGAAACAGGGTTTCACGGCGGCACGGCATTCGGTCGGTAGGTAGGATAGGGTTCCAACCACGGTTACTTTCACACAGGAACTTCTGATGTAGTCCCCCACTAATTTGGAAATATGAGAAGATTTGACCCGTGAGAGGACTGGAAAGGGGTACCAGATTCTGATGGAATTGGAAAGCTCAAAGTCTAACTCGAAAACCGGACATCGTTCCAGAATACAGAGTCCTACAGTACTTCTCACGGATACTTATCCACCGTTCTGTAAGGACACATACGAGCTATAGTTAGACTACCAGCTGCTTCCAAGGGGTTACCAATGGACAACCCCACACTGCTTAGAGGTCACCATTGGACACCCAGACAGGAAGCGCTACGTAGGTATAATGCACTTAGTTCCGTAAAATGGCGTGATGCTCTTCTTGCAGACTCCGCGCTCGTGCCTCCAACGAGCCACTTCCCGCCTCTTTCGTCCTCAGGTCTTCGCGGGCGACGCCGAGTGTGGGCCTCGGATCCGTGGTGGCATGGTGGAACCCTCGTTCTCATTTCTATTCCTTCAACATACCTAGCTACTTTAGCATAGCACACCCCACCCCAGAGTCTATCTATAACGAATTTCCTCAGTCGGCCGTTTTCTCGTTCAAACAGCCGTTTGGCTCGTCTTCTTTGGGCCGGAAACCCTACCGAACTCGCCTTACTTTCCATGAACGGTGTCTTCGTGCTTTCCTCTCTCGTGGCCCTCACTACCTCCAGCCTTTTGGAGGATGTGGAGCCTAACCAATGTATTGACCTCCTCCAGACCCAGTCAGAGTTCCGATTGCGCCCCCCGTCCTGTTCGCCAAGAGCTGGCGAATCATGAGGATGTCTCCTACACTGGACGGATCAGGGTTGGGCAACAAGATTTTGAGGCCATTCTGGACACCGGATCCTTTGAGTTGGTGATCTTCACACATAATTGCGAAGGCTGTGGGGCAGCAGGGCACCGTGGCTACGACCCTCGGAAGAGCCCCAAGTATCGGGCTGGACGCCTGGTGCAAGAGCTTAGCTATGGGAGTGGTAATGCCTTTTGCAGCAATGCATTTGACCAAGTGGAGATTGGATACTCGGCTAAAGACATGACACATGTCCTTTCGTAGTGGATCCAGGATGGAGGGGAAGTGAGGTTCATCGGATTTCAATGGACTTTGTAGGTTCATACATAAGGCATCATAAGTTTCATGTCTTAATTGATGTTCAATCAAGTGAGGAAGCTTACACCTTGAGTCTCAACCAATTTGGCTTGTGGAACAAGCTCAGATGAAAGTTCTGTCAGATGCCAAGTTTCAAGCGATTCTTGGCGTGGGCCCCCCCCTTTGCAATGAAGTTGCAGGCAGAGATGGACGAAAAGCAGTTGCAAGGCTTAGCTGGCAAGTTGAAAGCTTGGAATGTGTCTATTCCTGCAAGTCTTCGCAGTCGGATGCAAAACATCAAAAAGGCAGACCGTGCCATGGAAAATCTGCACGACAGTGTCCCCGAAAACTTGCAACTGCGTTTCTTGTCCATGTGTCTGGGGCGCAAGCAGGGGTCTCTTGGGGCCGCCATTTGGCATGACCACGATCCATCCAGCAGACCAGAGCCTTTCAGACGATTGGCAGTGATCGGCAAGGTCACTTGGGGCTTGTCATTGAAAAACATCCGCTTGGTCTCAAAGGGTCAGCGCATTGACATCGCTTGCTCCAAGGGCTGTGGAGCCATTCTGGACACCGGCACCTCTCTCCTTACGGCTCCCTTTGATGCAGTGAACCGAATGGGCAACGTCCTTAAAGCTTTAGGTGCAAATTGCCTGAAGGAAGACAGCTTGCCACATTTGGAGTTCGAGCTCGGGGGAGAAGTCTTGTCTTTGCCTCCTCAATCCTACATTGGCTTCGTGAAGGGTGTGATGCCTGCTCCTTGGAAGACACTTTTTCACCAGAAGCCTTTGATTCAAGTGGAAGATTGTCAATTGCTGATGATGGACAATGGAGGAATGACAGGTGGTGAGGAAGGACCACTTTGGATCATCGGTATGCCCTTCTTCCGCACCTTTTACACCACCTTCGACTACTCTTCAAGTCAGCCTTCCATTTGGGTTACAGAAGCTAGTGAGAGCTGTGAGCCCGCGCAGGCAGCACATGCAGCGCATGTGAAACAGTCCTCATTGTTGCAAGTGGATCAGAGCAATTTGAGGTTGCCTCGATGGATGTCAAATCGTAGTTCAGAGCATGTTCAACTTTGAAAGAGACACACGGCCAAATTGTTTGTGCAGGGATGACCACCCCTGTCGCATGAGTCAAAAGATCGTGCTCTCGAAATCCGCTAATTTACGTGTTTCTACATGTCACATGATGTCACATATTATGTAAAACATATTATAGACCTTCTGGAGAAGGATTTTTGTTTGGAAATTTTTGCCAGAAGGCCTTGCTCGCCATCTACTACTTGCACAAAGCAAACCATACTCACACCCGCTCAGAGTAGAACATGTGCACGTTTCGCCCTTGCAGAAGATAGCTTACAGATCCTTGAACATCTCAGCTTGAGTCTTGAGCATTTTCCCGCAAATGCCATGTCTCAAATTCAGAGACTTTGACCGGAAAGTTCGTCACCTTGGGGACGCCGAAGACGCTTAATTCCGGATTCAGAAGACTTGTTCCTGGTATGAGCTGCTTGCAGTTCGTTGATGTTGGATTCTTACGTGATTCTTTGCCAGGTAGTTGCATGGCTGAGCTAGCTTCTAGCTCCTCAGCGTGTTGCAATGTATCGCTTTCAGTTTTTGCGGGATTTTAGGGTCGCCTGCAAATTCGTTGATCGATGTGCCCTGGTGTGGTGCTTGCTTTTGAAATGTTCGATTCTGCCATCAAAGGCGAAAGGCCTAGTTGCCACTGAGGTTCTTCTCCTTGTTGCTCCAGCCTCAGTTTTGTGGCCTTTGGAAAGTCAGTGCTGGGTGTGTTAGAACTTGCTCTCAAGGTCTTTTCATGTACTACCGTTGCTACTGTAGCAGCTTGGATGCTGAGAGCTGGGAGACCTGCCCAGAGTTTAACGAGCCGACGGGCTGACGACTCACGACCCATCCTGAGGCCAGTCCTCTCGCGCCTTTGTGCAGGGAAGCTCACAAAGTGGAAAGCAATCCTTGTCAGCAAACATGGAAGGCATTTGAGCATATATATATATATATATAAGAGGCGAGACGAGGTGAGACTATACTTATTGGAACCCATCTTTACGGATTCCATCCTTTGGGCTTGGCCATGGCTATGTGTTTGATTCTTCCCATGTTTTTTCCCTTGAGGCGCATGTTCAGGGCTGGCCGGTGGCTGGCTCCGTGTCTTCCCGCTCCGACCTCAGAGAGGGTGAAACGGCAGGAGGCCGCCCCGTGCCACAAGCATACTGCATGGCATTATTCGATTTCTTCAGTCGCACAACACCTTCGGCTGGTGCAACCCTTCAAGGACAAATAGGATCAAATTGGTTCTTCTTTGGGACCAATTGTCGCAATAGATGAGTTCGGTCGCATGTTTGGATCATTTAAGTTGCAGCAATTATATATCAGCAATTCAGTGTGAGCTGTGACCTGTGGCATGTGCCTGTCGGACCACCGTACATAGTGGAAATTCTGAAAGAAAAGGCATAAAAAGTTCAGCTTATTGAAGTAGCAGTTGGTAAAGTCCTTTGTTTGAGTACCAGCCGCAGTTCCAGAAAGAGACAAAGAAAGCCAACCTGGAATTTGGATGACCAATATGGTTCTCTCATCATTGCATTGAGTGATGCCTCTACTAAGTAGAGCTACGAAGATATGTCCTCGTACTCTTTGAAGCTGTCTGGCTGAGAGCAACTGAGTTACTGTACCCCCCCCGCCACCCCAATGTGGGTGGCGGGGGGTGTGGACAAAGAAAGGTGGTATGGCCACCGATTCAAGACAGGGCAGCTTGTTGAGTGTGCAATCCGGGATGGAGATGGCCACGCTCAAGGCACGATCATCCTGGAGATAGCAGCTGCCCTGTCAACAGACGACAAAGGGCATTGGGTGACCGCCAAGTACATCGGTGCAAGCGATGCCCATATGCAGTGGTGGATGACGAAGGGTGAAGGCAAGAAGCTCGCATCCAAATGTGCCTATCACTTCTGCGAGGAATCGTCCCACGACTGCAAGGTCACTCGTCGAGGTGCCTCGATCCACGTCGAGAAGTTCAGGGTGTTGACTCAGAAAGAGATCGACAATAGGGTGCCAGCTTGGGCATTTGAGAAGGAGATGGCGAAGCCCTTCCTAGAGTTCTTGAAGGAGAAGGATATGGCCCCGAAGCCCAAAGAAGCAAAGGATGCTTTACCCTGGGTTGATCCAGGTGAGGAGGGCTCAGAAGAAGAGGATGAAGAGTCCCTGGAAGAGAGCCCTGCAAAGGTGGGCCTCAAGGCCAAGCTATTAATTGAAGGCCCGTGATGAGGTGAAGAGACTTGAGCGGGAGCTCACTGGGAAGAAGGGCGCCACAAAGGGCGAGAGCGCAAAGGCCAAGAAGGAGAAGGCTAAAAAGAAGAAGAAGTTGGCCCCTGAGGTCAAAGCAAAGAAGAAACGTAAGAAGCTCCAGCAGGTGTTCCCTGTTCATGAACACCTCCTCGTCCCTCTCCAGCAGGCCGCCGGAGTCCGGACCGAAGAGCTCCAGGAATTGTGCTGCTTGCCAATGGCCGTCGTGACAGCTCTTCTCGATTGCTTTCAGACGTTGGCCCAGCACGTCTGCCGCATGGGCCGGAAGCTTCCTCGCCAGAAGGTCCAGCGCGGTGCACAATGTCCTCATCTCCCTGTCAGCTCTCATCCCCAGGCGCTGGCCCAACTGCGGCACTATCATTGTGTGGAAGTAGTGGACGGCCGCTGGCGGGGTCAACTCCCCTCGATCGGCTGGTTTCGCCCCCACAGCCCCCCTGGGCTCCTTCGACCTGCATCTTCAAGAGAAGCCTTGAAGCCAGGCGGCCCGGTGTTCTTTTGGCGTACTGCATCAACTTCAACTGGTTTGATGCTTTTGGGACTGTGGGGGCTTCGCGAAAACCCGCCTCTGACTCACTGGAGGTCTCACCCTGCGTCCCCGATCACGCTGGCCCTTCTTGGCCACTGCAGACTCCTTCACTTCGGCACCCTCACCGAACAAGCCTTCTTCCTCCTCACTATAGGAGGATGACTCTTCAATTGCCTTCTTCTTCTTCTTCTTTTTCGCCAGCCGGGCTCCCTTTGCATGTTCAGCGTCTCCGCCGGCTGCTCTCTTCTTCTTCTTTCCACCTCCTGAAGAGGCCGAGAGGGGGCAAAGACGGAAAAGGCTGTCAGGAGAAAGGAGGCCGGAAGGGGAAAGAGAGAGGAAAAGGCAAAGGAGGCGAAAAGGAGAGAGAGAAGAAGGATTAGAGCCTGAGGTCACCAGTGAGCCACCTCAGCCCCTCGAGGCAGTGGTTGCAGGAGGCTTGAGGGGCTACCTGGCTGAAGACGGTCACTGGTTGAGCTGTTCTATGGCTTGTGGAGGACGTTTGAGGCAAGGACACGCCGCTGAGTCGCCTATCGCTTAAGAGTCCAGGACCGCCTCTCGACGACAAGTCCTCTAAGCCAGTGCGGGGCGACGAGCTGCTGCCCATTAACCCACAAGCTGTGATAGCCTATCTGCTGCCATCAGGGGGGGCTGAAGGCACAGGGAGTGGCCGCTATGGTGAGTGCTCTCAACTACTTAGCAAGGTCTCAGGGCCAAGGAGGATGGTCTGCGCCAGAGTTCAAGAAAGAGCTCACCCAGTCCCAGAAGTTGACAGTTGACCACCTGAGGCGAGCTTGGACTACATGGAGGAGCGAAAGCTGAAGTGTAGTCGCTTTGAAGAGGCGGCAAAACACTTGGCTGCAGTGCGCTTTGATTACCAGGGTGAACCTGTGGTGGTGATGGAAGACATCAGAGCAGAGAAAGTGATTGCTGCGTGGCCGAAAGTGGGCCAGGCAGCGGTCCAAGATGTACTGACCTTTTTGCCAGAAGCTGAAGGCGAAGTTGCTGGATCCCCTTTCCTGCCTCAAGCCAGTCCACGAGTGGCCCGCTGAGCCGCACAAGTCACGAGTGAGGGCCTCTGATGATGAGTGGAACAAAGTGGTCAGTGCTGCGCATGAGCGAGGTTTGATGGTAGCCGTGGAGATGGACGAGGTCTTCAAGGATCAGAAGGGCCGACCCGTCCTTAACGGCGCGGGAGCAGTGAAGAAGGAGAAGAAGGTTGATGGCAAGGTGGTGAGCGCCCAGCGATTCATTAGCAACCTGATCCCAAGCAATATGTTTCAAGACCGCCTGGAGGGCGATGATAAGCTACTGCCGTATCTGGGGCAGCTCACCCTCCTGGAACAGGAGGAGGAAGAGGTTTGGTTAGTTGACTCAGAGGACTTCACGAGTTGCTTCAACTTGTTCCGGCCGCACCCACTATAGCACAAGTTCATGGCCTTGGATGCAGCACTGTTGGGGGGAGTGCCGGGTAAGTTAGTGTACCCTGCAATGGCGGTGTTGCCTATGGGCTGGGTCAGCAGTGTAGCCGTGGTGCAAAGCATCGTGAGGTCCCTGGTCTTCAAGGAGGCTGACATCCCGCAGGAGTCTGAGATTGCCAAGACGCAGCTCGTATGATCAATTGAGAAAGTTCAAGAAGGGTTGTGGAGAAGTGGTGAAGGCTGGCATGTCAGAGCGCCACAAACGCTTCCTCAAGGTTTGCGAGGATTTGGCGCTGCCGTTGAATGATGGCAAGCGGCTGGTGGCTTCGACCTTGGGGGCCCTCCAGGGAGGTGAACTTGACGGGGCAGAAGGGCGCTATGGTCTGTAGAGGTGGTCACCTTGGGGGCTACCTTGCTGGCCAAGGAGAAATGGTCAGAAGCTGAGCTGAGGCACTTCGTGGGGAAGGCCACATTTGGGTGTTGTTTCAGGCGGCCTCTCTCCGCCATCCTGGAGAGTGTGTTTGAGGAGATCAATGAGAGAGCCAGGCAAAATGATCGTGACGTCCCTCGTCCAGACACCTGGGATGAGGTGGCGGCCATGGTTCTGCTTACACCGCTCATGTACACGTACCTGAAGGCGAAGATCGACCCAGAGGTGTCATGGCGGAGGAGCTGCGACTGCAGTAGACTGGCTCACTTTTAGCTGAGGTCCAAAGGGCCCAGCCAAAAAAACTAGCAGTCAAGAGGGTTTGCTGGGTCAGCTGACACTGAGTGGTTGCCTTTGAGCTCCCAGCCTTTGAGCTCCCAGGGCAAAAAAACACACACACTCTGACATTGGTTTTCAGTTAATCGATTCCCAAGTGGAAAAAGGTGAGGGAACAGTAAGGCGAGCAACGCGTGACCTTACTACAGAAACTTGATGCCATTTGATTCAGCATATGAGCTCCCGGCGCGGTGTGTTTGAGGTGCTAGAGAGGTTTGGCAAACATGATGCCACTTGTTTCCGATAAGTTGAGTAACTCGGAATTGTCACCATTTGATTTTGATTTTGAGTAACCCAGTTTGAATAACCTAGAAGTTTCACCATTACTTCCAAGCTTCTAGGTGTTGCCACAAAGAAACAACAAATGGATGTAGGTATTGTTCATGGTATCTGCGCCCCATTTCATTTGGACGGTGAGTTGAACTGAGTGGTTGAATGTTGCAATAACACTCAGTTGTTGTGTGATGTCTGTCCTGGAAACTATATCCAAACCATTGTATGTTTTTTGTTACTTAGTACGCAACATCTGATGCAGTGTGTGCGTGCAGTTTCACAGGGTTCAAATGTCATATCGAGAGATATATTTTGCTTCGCCTGCTTTATATTCTGATGATTTTTTGGGAGTAATTGTGTGGAAGGCACAAAGAAGGATTGCCTGCGGTATTGGTAAGCCACATACACTTTATTTAGGTTTCCTGAAATAACGGTGACTAGTGATCGATTACTTTTGGTATAAACACAGGATTTTGGTCTAAACACAGGAGTTCGGCCTAACATCACAAAGTTTTCTATTTTATATATCTTGCGAGAGATCGTGTGTGTAGCCATTCGCATCTGCATGGTTGGCCAATTGATATAGCAAACAGTTTTTTAATGTGTTTAAAACAGGCCTTTTGATTGTCTCATGTGTTTTTAGATTTCATGAACTGTCAGGATGGTCAGGAACTGCCGCGCTAAGGAAAACTAAGGATTCGACATGCTAAGGGCCGGACTAAGGATCCCAAGCGCACTAAGGGCCGCACTACGGAATGACTAAGGATTTGACTAAGGGCCGCACTAAGGGTTGCTAAGGTTTCGTGAATGACGATCTCAAGGCGCGAAAAAAAAGAAACATTTAGGCCCCGCTGCGAAGCGGATTAGCCCTGAGA